GGGGGGGGGGGGGGGGGGTGGATGGGTGCAATAAGGACGGGGATGCTGCTCCTGAGGGTGAACCGGGGGTGAGAAGGAGCGAAAGGGTCCACGGTAACTGTTACTGCGGAAGGTGAGGAGACCTAGTTAATTACTAAAGCGTTTTAATCGTCGGCAAAGTTCCAGCGGCACGCTGCTGGCTCTACTGCTACCCGTTAACCTGCCCCTTGCAACCCCTTCGCCGTATCCAGCTATCCTCCTATCGCTGAGGCTGCTGCTGTTAGGGATGCTGCGACTAGGGGTTGTTTCCTGCTGAATCTACACTGGCTGTGTAAATTAGATACACGACAGTCTCCGGTGCTTGTTAGACCCAGGAGCGTATCAATAAGACGGGCACGTTGGATTTGGTGAATAAATATTCAAAATGTATTATTATCATTATATATATATATATATATATAGATATAGAAAGTAGCAGAGTGAAGATATATACATATATTTAAAAAAAATTAAAATCGATAAACAGGTATCGATTGGATTTTCGATCTTTGGGGATAGACAAAATTTTGCTGGGCACTGTCCTTGAATTTTTCATAGCATTAATATTTAAGGGGTTCATTAAAGTATTTATGGGTGATAATGTGGTGGGGGTAATTTTGCGATAAGGTCAAAATCAGAATTTTGAATATATAGAGTGCACTCGTTGACAGGGTTGTCAAGAGTGGTCGGGGGTTAAAACGTTGAGCGAACGTGAAACGTGGAAACGAGAGGCGCGACTAATTAAGTACGACGTAAGTTAATTAAGCTGTTATGGAGAGGTTGAAGATACACGGGAGAACGCTAAACTGTGCAAACACCGAGCTAATTAGCAGGAGACTTTATCGCCTAGCTGCAACATTATTCCTTAAGACGGGAGCGTCTGTCTAAGAAGAAGAGTAAAGGGGGAATGAAAACTTTGCAGAAGTCTCACAAAAAAAAAACTAGTACCAATTAAACAAAAATAATTGAGATAAAAATCACATAAAAAAAAAAGAAGTATCGATCATCCCTTTAAAAAAAACCTGTGAGCATATTATTAAAAAAAAAAATTTTTTTCAAAAATTTCACGGATACGTTTTCTCTCTATATCTCTATGTACATAGTAGTTACGTAGAGTCTCAGGCACGTGATTTTTTTTTAAGTCACCAAGAATTCTCCTCCCTCGTTTTGCAAGTCAAATGGTAACCATAAATAGGGAGGTTGGTAAATGTAGAAACGTAGGCAGGGATACGCGGGGTAAGAATGAGAGAAGTGTAATATACATACGTATAGCGACGAAATGAGAGTGAGAGAGAGGCACATAAGAAAGAAAGGCAGTAAGAAAAGGGACAGAGCACAGGAGGCAGGCAGGCTGGAGTTACCGATGGTTATGGTAGCACATGGTGGTGGTCGCGGATGCCGGCGGAGGTGGTGGCGAAGGAGAAGGCGTCGGAATCGCCAGTAAAGAAACGATGCAAAGATGGCTGCCCAGGCGTCGGGGGCCCACCCGAGGGTCTCTGGCGTCTTTTGTTTCGTCCTTTCGAATGCGAAGCACGGCAGGGCGGTTAGTTCTGATTAGCGCCAGGGCGAATGACGTACCACTGCCAGGATCACGTGGCCGGAATATACAAGCAGCGCCGTCTCGAGCAGCGACGTCCCGGACGCCAGCGTCAGCCGCTCTTACCTATGTACGGCGCCCTAAAGTGTAGCGGGGGTCGGCGGGGTAGACGCTTGATAAGAATTTATTTAGGTATCCTCCTCCGGGAGGCGGAATACCGAAAAGGAGGAGATACGACAAAAAGACCACGTGGGGATGACGTCTCGTGGGCCCTTAAAAAAAATTTTTTTTAATTTGGAAATTTTACAAAAATTTTATCTACAAAAATTTTTATCCTAACCCCTCTTGAATCATTGCCGAGAGAAACCAAGATGGCTGACCTCTTGGTTGAACTTTGTATCGAATCTGCATTATCGGTTTCATAGATCGATCGTAGTATGCACGTTACGAGTCTACTGTACCTATAGTCCGTTCGACGTTACACCGGTATACTGTATTCGAATCTTTTATTATGATGTACACAGTCTGTCTGTATAGTCGATTTCGTATCTATCTAACGTCTAAACGTCATTTCTCGAGACTTCCTTCTCCTTTACGCACGAACACGTCGTGCAGAATAACGTAGTCTCTCGTTGATTTATGGGTTAATAGTTAACCGCTCGTAAATAATGCTAATCACACTCTTATTATACGTTCTGCCATAGCATCCTCTTTCCATGTAACCACAACAAGACCGGAGAATGTTTAGTCCACTGGCACGACTTTACTCTCCGTCTCTCTCTGTTTCACGTTAAATCGTATATATGACCCGTCTCTCTCGGCTAACTTCACATCGGCCATTCGTATCACG